GAGTGAAAGGCAGTTCCACCTGAACACCAAGGAGGATCTGCTGTGGAAGTCTGAGCGCGAAATAATGAAGATCTAAGCACAATTAGTGGACTTGGGAGGCATTTGGAAGGCAGAATCAACACAAGTGGTCGACAGACAGATATGGGAAGAAAAGAAGGGGAAGCAATAGAGGATACCTCCCGGATATCTAGATCGGGTGAATGGATGCCCATGACAGAAGGAGAAGCAGTCCTGGGAAGATGATGAATTCTGTTGTTATATTCGGGGTGCCTAGGAGACACACAAGAATTCTGAGCCAGATTAAAACCCGCAGGCATCGAAAGGTTGATTCTTGTGCACTAGTCCCAGCAATTAGACTAAAAGCAATACAAAATCATACAGCAACATGAGGAAGGCTAAAAATGTTTGCTTTCCTAATAATGACCACTTTGGTACTTTTAAAAACATTACCAAAAATGTAGATTAAAAAATATATGAGATATATATATATATAATAATGGCTGGGTTGCTTAGTTAGTTAGAGCTTTGTCCTGATAGGCCAAGGTTGTGGGTTTAATCCTAGTCAGGGCACATACAAGAATCAACCAATGAATGCATAAATAAGTGGAGCAACAAATCGATGTTTCTCTCTCTCTCCTTCTCTCTCTCTCTCTAAAATAAAAAATATATATTCACCCTAGCCGGGGTGACTCAATTGACTGAATGTCATCCTGTGCACCAAAAGGTTGCTGGTTCAATTCCCGGGCAGGAAAAGTGCCCAGGTTGTGGGTTTGGTCTGGGGCGGGGCATACAAGAAGCAACTGATCAATGCTTCCCTTTCTTTCTCCCTCTCCCTTACTTTCTATCTAAAAAATCTATAAAAACATATAAGGAAAAATATGTATTACATATAAATATTTATTTATATATATGTATGTATATATTACTTTTTTCCTGCCACTGCTTGGCACATGACAGAAACATGTGCATAGACAGACTGTCTGTTGGTGCCCAGCCTAGGAGATGACCAGCAGGCAGTGATCCATCCTACTTCCTTCTCTACAGCTTCCCACATGCTGCAGAATTTACATATCTGCCCACAGCAAATCTACTGAGGGTTTACACCAACAACCCCACGGAAGTCAGGCAGAAAGGGACAGTTCATGTGTCTGAATAGATCCAGTTCATGGGTCTCATTCATGGCTGTTCTAGTTCTATATCCGTCTAGAGTCCAAGCACTAGGACCACTGCTTACTTCCTTATTCAATACATTCCCTGCATTTTATTTCCTTGCCTGCCTGTCCGTTAAGTAAAGAGCACATGTTTTCCATATGCTAATGTTTTTCAAAAGTTTTCTATCAGAATCTCCTAAAGGTCTTGTTAAACTAGATTTTTGAGCCCTACCCCCAGGGGTTCTAATTCAAAGGTCTGAGATGGGGCCAGAGAATTTACTTTTCCAACAAGTTTATAAGTGATCCTGCTGTTGCTGGTCCAGTAACTGCAAAACTAATATGCCAATTTTCCACAGCCAAAGCGATTTGAAGAGAATTGAAATAATAAATTAATTTTTTAAATATGCTAAAGTAGACATAGAAAAAATGTGATAAAAGTAGCCTGTGTTCATTATAAAAGGATAACCAGGGTAATTCGGGTGGGCAGTTGTGATTTTGAATGAAATACGAGATTATTTGCCATGATATTCTACATTGCTTTGGTTTTGAAAAGCTGGCACTAAAAATATTTACAGGCAAACATAAAGTCTCCTTACTTCTACTCAAAATGCAGTTGATGACAAAAAGGACAAAGTAATTCTGCATTTCAAGACATTCTAGATGGCTGTCATATACTGGCATAGAGCAAGACTGATCCTTTGAGAGAATAAAAAGTAACTTGAGTCTATAGTTCTTAGATAAGAAGCTCTTTAATTGCTTGACTTCTGGATTTTTGTGAGCCACATGCCCTTCTCTGAGCAAACACTGGGCAAGTGTTTTGGAGTCTTTACTTTCTCATTTACAATTCGGTACTACTCGATTTTATTTATTTATTGACTATGATCAGATACTACTTTTTAAAAATCTTTACTGGAGGACATTTTTGCTTTATGTTCAGATAGAGTGGGAGGGAGAGAGGAAGGAAGAGAGACAGAGAGAGAGAAACATTGATGTGAGAGGAACATGCGTGGTTGCCACCAACACAACCCCAATCGGGGTGGAGACAAACTGCAACTGAGGTACATGCCCTTAGTGGGAACCAAACCCAGGTGTCTCTGGTCTGCTGGCCGATGCTCTAACCGCTGAGCAACCTGCCAGGGTCAGATACTACTTTTAAGTTGAAAATAAATCAGACAATAAATTTTTTAAAATCCTATTCTTAGTAAATACTAAAGCCCTGCCATAAAGTAAAATGAAGGGAAGAACATATTAACCTCAAAAGAAGTTAGTTACTGGGGTATCCAAAGGAGTTGGTTAAAAGGTAATTAATTGTTCTACACCAAAACTTGAGAAAGGGATTGTAAGTTTATCTGAGCATGTGGTTGGTTGGATGGCTAGCTACTACATAGAGATTTCCCATCGGAAGTATAGTTTAACAAAGCAAAGGGTGAAAAGACCATTTTTGTTCATTTAGGATTTTTGTCCCCAAATTTAAAATTAGAAAAAGGGGCCAAGATAAAATCTGTTCTGTGAAAAGAACTCATTGACAGGAATGTTATTTCACTAAAGGCTGAATGTTGTTGTTTTTTACATAATTATTGTACAATAAAGTGGAGTACCAATTCATGAAAAAGACAAAGGGTGACACAGCAATTCTACTTCTGGGTATATAACCAAAGAAACCAAAAACAATAAGTCAAAAGACTATCTGCACTCCTATGTTCATTGGAGGGTTATCTATAATAGCCAAGATATGGGTACCACCCAAGTGCCCATCAATAGACTAGTGGATAAAAAAACAGTGGTACATATACATAACGGAATATTACTTGGCTGTAAAAAATAATTAAATCTTACACTTGCAACAGCATCAATGGACCTAGAGGTATTATGCTAAGTGAAATAAGTCTGTCAGAGAAAGACAAATACCATATGATTTCATTTATATGTGGAATCTTAAGAACAAAATAAACGAGCAAACAATTGAAAAAGACTCATAGAAAACAGACTAATGATTGTCACAGAGGAGGGGGGTTGGGTGATGGGTGAAAAAGGTGAAAAGGATTAAGAAGTACAAAATTGGTAGTTACAAAATATTCCCGGGGATGTAAAGTACAGCATAAGGAATGTAATTAATAATACTGTAATAACTATGTGTGGTGCCAGGTGGGTACTGGAATTATCCAAGAGCAACAGGGAGAAGGGGGACATTTTGCAAAGTATAAGATTGTCTAATCACTAAGCTGTACACCTGAAACTAATACAAAATAATATTGAATGTGAACTCTAATTAGAAAAAAAAAAAAAAAAGCCAAAGGGGGGTGGGAATCCTTTAAAAAATATTATAAAAGGAATCAATGAGGTTTACCAAGCCTTCCCCTAAGAGCAAGAATTCCAATTCCTCTTCAGAGAATTAGCTTCCCCTCCAACACCTGGGCTGCTCTTCCACTCCCCCCCCCCCCCACTCCCTAAGAAGAATGAGAGCCTGTATTTCCTCCTGAACTCCAAGTGCATAACTCCACAAGACAGAATCCTGGCACGTTAAATGGTAGGTAAACATAGGAACAGGATACAGAATAAGTAAACATGAACAGGATACAGCTCTTATGCAAAAAAAAATTTTTTTTAAGCCAATATTTAACAAATGTTATACCTAATGAAGCATAGTCATTGTTTTCTTTACAAACATTTTTCTATTTTGGTTTAATACAAGGCCACTAAAATATTTTATTGTTGCATTTATTGTTTTTTACTTTAGCATTTCATTGAGTTGCTATGTTCTATTTTATTTCCTTTAGTTTTAAAAGGCCCTTAATTTTGTAACAACATTTCAAAGTAAGAAAGAGAGAAAAAAGATTGAATTCAGTTTCTCAATAGTAAACAGGGTCAGCTTTGAAAAGACACTTTTGTTACTAGGTTGGAAGAAAATGCTTGTATACATTTATTAAGCATTTAAGTACTAGGTAAAATAGGGCTTGATTCGGCTTTCTTAGAGCTCTTTTGTTTTGTTTTGTTTTGTTTTGTTTTTTCGCCATTAAGCTTATTCTGGGTTTGAAACAGTTTGCTCCGCAGATAATGATGTGTGTGGTGACAATGAACAACTAACGTAATCTAGAAACGCCTAGGGAGAAACTTTTAACGATTCTTGTGCAACTATTGTAGGTTGTTGGTTTTTAAAGCGCTGGAAAGTCTGTTACACCAGGTGTTCCTCATTCCAAAGCAGGACTTGAAGTGTCCCACCAGGACTCCACCTGTCTCCTTTTCCCCTGACACCTCCCAAGTTTCCTTTCTTAAAGTGTAGGCAGCATTCCCTTTTCCAGGTTGCCTGTCCCCATGTGACGTCCCCTAACACCTGTACTGGCTCCAGCTCACAGCGCCCCCAGCCCCACTGCCAGGTACAGACCCTGCCTGGCTCCCCCTCTCCTAGGAGGTCACAATCTTAGTGCGAGCCTCACTTGGGCCGGCAGGGGAGGAGCTGAGCTCCGGCCAAAGCAGCAGCTAGAGCCCTAGCAGCCTGATTATCACATGACTCGACGGCGGCGGTAGCCGTGGCAGCAGCCGTGCGGGCTCCGCGGGCTCGCTTGGTGGGCTGAGTGTCGCTCACGCAGGAGTCCAGCGCAGCGGACAGGGAAGGGACCTGCCGTAAGCTGCGGCCGCCCCGCCGCTCCCGAGCGCGCGGCGTCTCCCGGATCGGCCCGCCCGCTCCATGCCTCTCCGTTGCGGAAGTGTAGCGGGGGGAGGCAGCGGCGGCACGGAGCGCGGGAGGCCGGGGCTCGGCCCCCTGCAGCACTAGGTTCTGGGAGCGGCGCTGCGCGTCCCAGCGGCCCGGCTGCTCGTGCGCCCCGCGCCCGCCGCAGCCTGCATGCTCCGCGCTGCGCCTCGCCGGGCCCCCGCCACCGCCTCCAGTTCTCACCGCTGCTGCCGGGAGCCAGAGTAATATGCTCACTCGAGTGAAATCTGCCGTGGCCAATTTCATGGGCGGCATCATGGCTGGCAGCTCAGGCTCCGAGCACAGCGGCGGCGGCTGCGGAGGCTCGGATCTGCCCCTGCGCTTCCCCTACGGGCGGCCGGAGTTCCTGGGGCTGTCTCAGGACGAGGTGGAGTGCAGCGCCGACCACATCGCCCGTCCCATCCTCATCCTCAAGGAGACGCGGCGGCTCCCCTGGGCTACTGGATACGCAGAGTGAGTGCAGCGACACCGGTGGCTCCCCCGCTCTCCTCTCGGCCCTTCCCCGCACGGCTCCAACCCTCCTGTCTTCTTGTCCCTCGGCCCCAGGGTTCTCTGGCCGCGGCGTCCAGGCCTCGGCGGGTCCCTCTTAATTTACACTGCCCATTTCTGTCTTCTCCACTCCCCCTTCCCCCATCCCCAAGGACGCGGCGTCTCCTGTCCGGGTATGGGTGGTAGGTGGGTGGGTGCAGTGCTGGACCGTGGGAAAGCGAAGGTTGGACGGATCTGTGATTCCGTGGGCTGTGACACTTGGGAGTGCGTAGAACGGTTCTGTTGAAGTTTGAAACACAACAGGGAAATCTGGAATCTGCGTTCTGCACCCCAAATCTTTGTGCCTCCAGGTGAAGTGTGTGGGGTAGAACCTGGAGAAACCGTCCCTGCGCCGGGGGTGGGGAGCGGTGTCCGATCTCTGGAGGCAGCCGCGGTCGCTCTCGTGGTTGCACATTTCATAAGGTCTTAGTTTCTGCGACTTCAGCCGAATAACTCGTTTGCTTCTCCTTTAGCTGGTAGTGAAACCCTGCGCGTTCGTTAAATGCCGGTACAGTCTCCCCCCCCCCCCCCGGGTCCTTTGGGAGGGGGAAACTTATTCCAGGTGTTTAATGATAGCATTTGGGTAATCAGCTTTGGCGATTTAGCGAGCATTTGAGTGATTTACTATTTCAAGAACCAACTGGGTTTTGTTGACGACCTGGAGTGGAACTGAGAAAGAAAGAGGAGATTTAATGGCCTCTGTCCCACTCTGAGGCTTCTCCCCCATTGACTATTAGTGACCATTTTATGAATGGTAGGATAAATACGCTTTCTCCCCCTATTTAGCGTTATGAAACTGGGAAACTCCGAAGGTGGCATTTCGGAAACCGGTGTTCCGGGGTTAATAGTGACCTGGTGGGTGCAAAAACGCACGTGAAACCCCGGTGCCTTGGCACACCTGCCCCTTTAGCTTTGACTCGCTCCGCTCTGTAACTGGGCCCGCCCCCGCCCGTGCACAGCTTCGTCCGCCGATTGGTTCATCCGGAACCAATCAGCTCTCCCGACGCCTGGGCGCTTTGATGCTGACCCTGTTCTGGTAGCCCGGATACCCCCGGGCAGGCTTGGTTCCCGACACTCGGGTTCCGGTGCACGAGATGGCCTGGAAGATGCCCCGCTTACAATCTGGAATGCTCTTTCTTTCCCCTTTCAACGTATAACCGTCTCTCCTTGGTCTGAAGTAGACAATGTGCATAAATGGGGATAAACGGCTGGAGTCTGTGAGAAAGCAGAAGCGAAACTGATGGGTGCTAAAACAATAAAAATCAACACAATAAAGGATAATCGTGGTAGAGAACGTTGGAGGTGGGGAAGTACAAAATAGATTTGTAACTTCTGGAGAAAGCCAGAGCAAAAATAAACTGTAAGGAAAGACCTGAAGGAGGAAAAATTGCCTGCCCACACAATTTCAATACCAACACAATACCAATCACTGTTTCTTGACTGAAACAAGAAAACATTATGTAAAAGCCCATTTGGACCTTTTGCAAGCCAAAAAGCCACTTGGAGGCATACTCAATCCTGCAAGTGTGTAGATGGGGCCCTGGTGCCTGCCAGAAACCTAAGTGCAGGCTGGGATGCCACTCCATTGGGTTTTCCAGGGCAAGGGCACCTGTCTGAAGGGCAGAAAGACAAGTGGGCAAATGGCGAGAAAGTTGTAAGAGAGGTAGGAAGGAAGCTGTCAGAACACAAACTGTGGAAGCCACTCGGACACAATAAAAGGAGTACCTCAGATAAGCAGAACAGAAAGGAAAGGGAGAAAAACCCACCAGTTTCAGAATGCTCGGATCCTCTGGCAGGCCCATGATGTGCCAAGAGCTGTAAAGATTATAAAGGAATCTGAAATGAGACGGGTAGGAAAGACTGTACTTGGAGGGCTCTACCTCTTCCTAGCTGGGCCTCAGTTTCCTTTATTTCCAAGAAGCTTATTTTTTCCTAACCAGGACATGAGAGATGTTCAACTTGAAGGTTAAGAAAGGCCACTGTAAAATGTTTAATTTTAAAAATGAACTATAAAATAGCACATGTTAATTCAAGCAAAGACCAGTATGCAAATGTAAGCCCTTCCCCACCCACCAAGGGTAATGGCAGTTCATCGTTGGGAGTGTGTGCCTTTCTGGGCTTCTTTGGAAGCACCTATAAATATGTATCAGGCATTTCTTCTTTCTTCCCCAAATAGACCCATACCAAACATGTTATTCAGTAGCATTTCCATAAATCACTGTGCCGTGGACTGTATTCCAAGTCAGTACATATAGGATTTCCTCAGTCTTTTAAAATGTATAAATAGCACTAATAGCAGCTAACAGTGCTTGCTGTTCAGTGCTTGCACTCTTTCCAAGTTTGTATCCTACCATTTGATTCTCACAACAACCCTCTGAGGCAGCAATTTTCAACCATTGTCATCTCGTGGCACACATAAACTACTAAAAGTCTGTCACACACCAAAAAAAAAATAGGAATAATTTTTTTTTTAATCCTCACCCGAGGACATTCTTCCTTTTTTTTTTTGTTCAGATAGAGTGGGAAGGAGAGAGAGGAAGAGAGAGAGAGAGAAACATCGACGTGAAAGGGACATATCGAGTGGCTGCTTCCCACCGAGCCCGCCGGGGACAAACTACAACCAAAGTATGTGCCCTTAGCGGGAACCGAACCCGGGTCTCTCTGGACCACAGGCCGACGCTCTAACCGCTGAGCCAAACCAGGCAGGGCAAAATAGGAATAATTTTGATTCATTCACACTGGATTGCTTTTGTTATGTTGGCTGTTGTCATTAAATTTTTTTTAATTGTCTTTTTTTTTTTTTTTTATCCTCACCCAAGGACATTTTTCCATTTTTTGTTTAGATAGAGTGGGAGGGAGAGAGAGGAAGAGAGAGAGAGAAACATCAATGTGAAAGGGACACATCGAGTGGCTGCCTCCTGCACGACGCAACCAGGGCCGGGGACAAACTGCAACCAAGGTACATGCCCTTAGCGGGAACCGAACCCGGGTCTCTCCGGACCGCAGGCCGACACTAACTGCTGAGCCAAACCGGCCAGGGCATTAATTATCTTTTTAAAATTAATTTTATTTTTTTATTACAGATATTTCTCCTTTTCCCTCCCATTGACACCCTCCTCTCCCACTCCCCCCACCCTTCACTGCTCATTTTTTTAATTTGGCAATTTAAGGGAAAAGTGGTCGGTACCCCTGACTAAATGGTCAGGTATTGCATGTTTTAAAAAAATCTTGCAGCACACCAGTTGAAAAGCACTTTAAGGTAGGCACTAACATGTCCATTTTATAGATGAGGACACAGAGGCATGTAATGGTTAAGCAACTTGCCTAGAGTCATACCACCTTAGAAGAACCTGTATTTGAATCCAAGCAGCCTGACTCTGGAGCCCACAACAACAAACTACCTCCTTACAGTGTGTGAAATTGTCCATCCACCTGTACCCACGATTAACCACTGACGTCATCTGGCTGCCTCCCTCTGTCAGATGTTGTACTGTACCACTTCCTCAAACCTTGAGTTGTAGTTTATCTTCCTGCAAAAATATATCTTGAATGACCAACAATGGCTGAAATAGGGAAGGGGAGAGAAAGACAAGTAGGAACTGGTGCTATGGTTAAAGGCTGCTACCAGTAACACTGCCCCTCGCTACAGGATGTACTGGGAGGAAGAATTATATTCTCTTTGTTCTAGAAGGCTCTTGAAAAGGCATAGCATTGGTAGGAAGAGTGTTCAGAGAGTGGGCATAAGAGAGATGCTAATGAGTTAAGGCCTGAGTCAGAAGTGGTTTGCTTATCTTTCTAGAAAGTGAGGGACTTTCTAAGCTTTCCTGGGGAGGAAGAATTGACATCACTTGGTGTGGAACTGAGGAGTTAGAGCAGAGTTGAGCTCTAGTGTTGTTGACCTTTTGGATGGTAGAAAAATTGAGAAAAGGTTTATTTGTGGCCACTTACTATTAATCCCTTTCAAGAAGAGATACTTTAGAGGTTATTGAGTTAAAGAATTAGTTTAAGCAATTCCTGTGAGACTTGGGAATCCAGAAACTGAAGACCCTCATTTATTAATTCAGTATTTATTGGCATTGACAGGGTGGGGTTTCCTGGTCCCTCTAAAAGCTTCCTATTGTGGCTGAAAAGTTTAGCCGCTTGATTATGGTAGAGACGCTAGGTTTACAAGCACTGCAGTTACAGATAACATCCATAGAGCTCAAGTCTTTCCAAAAACTTGCATTTTAGTTTGGCTTTGAAATCACTGACTTAGCCTGTTAGATCTGCTCAAAGTGAGTCTGTGGGAAGCAATAGTCCGACCCAGAGACCCTACCCAGAGACCCTACCCAGCAGCTACTTCCTTTTTCTCTTCACAAGTTTAAATACCACCCAGATGGTCCCCGTGCTTCCTGGACCTGGAAGTCAGTTTAGTTTTGAATGGATTAGGAGCCCATTTTGACTTTTGTTCTTGACCTGTTTGCCCACCTTTCTCCTATTGATTGTCATGTGGAGTTAGAGATACAAGTGGATACAGAGTTTGGGCCTGAAACTACTCAGGATATGAAAGCATCATATTCAGGTTTTTATTGGTGATAAACTTTTTGCTTGTCCAAAAATAAGTATAGCATAATTTTACTTAGGATATAGCTATAACTATGCAAAATTTTTTAGTATCTTCCTCATAAAAATGCCCTGGACATAGGTTTTTTTTAAAAAAAGCTACCTTGAGAGTGCCTATTAAATGTACATTACATTAATTCTTTGTGTATCACAAAGTTCAAGATTGTGTAATTATGGGTGAAATAACTTTATTTTTAATCCTGAAAACAGCTCATAAGTATTTGGATTTATTTTGGAATCTATAGGCTGTCTCCCCAGTCATTGGCAATAATTAGCAATGACTAATAAAGGACATTTCTTGCCTCTGCAGTGGTCATGACAGA